CTGAAATACTCTCATGGGCTTTTCAGCCAGATCGGAATGCCTTTAGGGCTGATTCTGAGGCCAGAGTGCTGTTTAGGACATCTGCCATTCTATGAGTCTGCTGAGTATCTCGCTTCCCATGTTGGATCACTCTCCCCTTTATTTATTCTATTGGTTAGTATTAGCAGGTACTAGGCTTGTTTATGTGCTCCCTTTGACTCTTAGTCCTTTCATTATGATCAATTGTGAACTGAAATTGATCACTTGGACTGGTGAGATGGCATTGGTACATGCCACCTTGATGGGATTAAATTGGAGTACCCTGGTATGTTTCTAACTCTACCATTTGAGGCAAGTCAGCTTGAGCATGTCCCAAATTGTACATCTCTTCCCTCTCTTATCCCCACTCTTATGTTTAACAGGGATCATATTTCAGTTAAATTTCAACACTTAAGAATAACTGTGTATTAATTACAGAATTAAACCAGTCATATTAAGTAGAACAGACAAAAAAACTACTAAGAGGGATAATGTATTAAGTTGTTCATTAACAGTCAGGGCTATGCTGATCAAGTCACCGTTTCTCATAGTGTCCATTTCACTTCAACAGGTTTCCTTTTTGGTGTTCATTCTATTCTTCCACCAACTTTTTGAAGTCCTTTCATGTATACATGGGCATGGATATAATATGTAGCATATCCAGACCTGATTGATTGTGCTATGTGTACTTTTAGGTACCCTGTTTGTTTGTTTTATCCCACTCACAGTGCCATGTACCATTCTTCATGTCGTTTCTCACAGGCCTACCTTTGTCCTTATAAAGTTCTGTAGTATTCAGTATATATGGAGGTGCCATGATTTTTCACATATCCAAAGTGATCTGCCATCCACTTCTGACCCCTCTCTTCAGTGCCCAATTTTGTCATCTGCCTGGGCATGCTCTTTGCTGTAAAGCAGCTACTGTTGATTACAGATGACTAACCTCAAATCACCCCCCTGGTGTGTCCCAGATCACACCCACCTGGGAGCTGGTGAAACATGTGGTTTCTCTGCCTGTGCTCAGGAGCCTGTAGGTCTGGGCATGGGACTGTGCATTTTAACCAGTTTAACTAGCATCTTGTGTGGTTCTGACTACCTCTCTTCTAGCTCATAATTCCTTGGGCTGCCTGTGGTGCCGTGGCCTTAGCCTCTGGACAGCAGCCAGAAACCTTCTAGGCTGCCTGTCAAGGTCCTCAGCCTCTTGTTCCTCATAATCTCAAGACCAATTCTTGGGGCTCTCACAGGTACATACTCTCCTTAGCAAGGCTTTTTTGTGTATTTGCTCCTGACTAAAGCAGCCTAGACTGAAGCCCAACACAAGATTGATGAATGCATTTTTGTAATCAGGTAGATCACAGTGTCCTGTTGAATATTTGCAGTATGCCAGGCTCTTTGTTGTGCCTGGGAGCTTTCTATACCAGGCAGTTAAGTGTGACACTGTGGCCAGTTGAGGCCTATGGGTTCAGAGTTCTCATATTTGGTGATGCCAGAGAAAGCCTGGCTGATGTACCCTCTGGACCTCCATGTGCATCTCAGTCAGATTTCTGGGACTGGACTTCTGAGATCTCATTACCAGAGTCCTTCACTTTCTCAGGCTTCTTGACCTTCAACCTTTGAGGTTCCTGTAAGACAGGGGCAACATAACCTGCAAGCTGGTCCCCTTCACCAGCCCTCCTGATTAAAGGCCACCTCATCTTCCTGGAGGAGAACGGATATGTGTATGGCAGGAAGGGGGGGGCTGATGTGCTTCAGAAACTTCCTATCACACTGGGCTCCTCCAAACTGTCTGAAAATCCCTTTCACTCCATAGACTGACAGGGGGAGGAAGAACTGCCAAAAATATTGAACATCCTTGACAGGCATGATGTCCACCTTAATTATTGAGTGTCAAGAGGTTGCTTTCAAGTTGGGATCTCTTTAGGAGAGAACTGTCAACTCAGAACAGGTTCTTGTCCCATTCTAGCAACAACAGATTCCTTGGAGGCTGGTACTCCATTTGTAGCTCCAGCATCATCTATAGATCAAGCCAGTGAGTATTGGGTTAGACTTGCATGATCTTCTCTTCAGTTATCGGTAGATTGTGGCTATGATGAATAAAATAAAGAAATATTTCAACAATATCTCAGCAGCATTTGATATGTTTAGTTATTTTTGTAATACTAAATATGCAATGTACAACTTCTGTCATGCACATTTTGTCTTAAAAGGGGTGCCTAAACTAAATGATTGAGAATTTCCAACTTGGAATCTTCAAACTACCTTTTGCAAGGAATGTTTTAAGTTATTGTTAAGGGTTGTTTTTAATCAGGCTTAAGGATCTGGAATCAAAAGTCTTATTTTCTTCCATCTTTGGAATGTGTTAAAAACTAAGCAAGATATCCTGGTCATTTCTGAATTTGGACAGTTTTGCCATAAGTAGTTCATGTGTTAGTGATACACATTCAAAAATTAAAAGCTGAGCTACTGGTAAATGAGTCAGGAGATACATAGGCACAGGGCAGTGGTGGCCCTGTTCATAGATTGTGGTCCCCTCCTCGTCAGAAATGAGGTTGTCTTAGCAAGGGAGGCATATCTGTCCTGCAGAGCCCCATATGGACATGTATTACTAGTTGTTTGTAACAAGAAGGTATTCTCATTTAGGAATTTCATTTTTTTCTTTATAAAATTTTATTATTCAGTGTGTATAACATATGACTGATTTTGAATAAAACGGCATCCAGATGAACTCACCCTTTTAGTGGTAATTCTAAAGGTATTAAAATATTTACTTATTTGAAAGGCAGAGTTAGATGGAGAGGGAGAGAGGGAGGGAGGGAAGGAGGGAGAGAGAGAGATCAATCGATTGTTCTTCTGTCTGCTGGTTCACTCCTCAAATGACTGCAACAGCTAGGGCTGGGACAGGCTGAAGCCAGAAGCGCAGAGCTCCATCTCGGTCTGCCATGTGAGTGGCAGAGGCCTAAGCACTTGATCTGTCATCTGATGCCTCTCAGGATGCGTTAGTAGGAAACTCAAAGCAGCACTCTTATATGGGATGTGGGCATCCCAAGCAACAGCTTAACCTGCACCCCGATGCCCGCCCCCTTCCTTTGATTTTTACAGTAGGAAAAACATGTTTAAAATGAACAAGCTGTGATAGGATTATTCATTTCTATCATTCTGTCCTTTTTTGTGAACCAGGTTGGGCTCTAGGTGAACATGGAGAATGGGCCAAATACAGCAACTTTGATGTCACTACCCGTGTGCCCCTGATGTTCTACGTTCCTGGGAGGACGGCTTCACTTCCAGAGGCGGGCAAGAAGCTTTTCCCTTACCGTGACCCTTTTGATTCCATCTCAGAACCAGTGGACCCAGGTATAAAATATGCTGAAGTGATTGCACCTTTAGTTTCTTTGTGACCCACCTTGCCAAACCATAGGCTGGCAGCTTACACAGTCCCCCTTCCTGCCCTGTGTTGGAATTCCTTCTTGACAATTTAGTCAGCACACATTTCTGGAACACCTCGAGTGCTCTGGGTGAGGGAGGAGTGGTATAGTCAAAGCTGACACATATGGCCCCTGTCCATGAAGAGTTTTGGAGTATAGAGGGATGCAGGAGCAGGTGTCGTTGCCAGTGTGGAGAAAGCTGTCATAATGGTGACAACAGCATGCTTCAGAACTTAGAGGAATGAGCTGCCTGCCTAACAATGAGCACGCTTTCGGCAGGAATTCCTTAACCTGCACACTTTGGACAGCCCTTTTCAAAGAGAACATTTTCCATTTTGGCAGCTTGATGGACTGGCACCTCATTCAGCTAGTGTGCCACTAGAACTGTAAAATCTGCTCTGCCCTCCTGAATAGTGAAGGACTAGTTTACTTTGGCTTCCATGTGCCAGTCTTTCAAAGCTTTGAAAATAGCAGAGATGTCCTCTGCCCTATCCGTTCACTAATATCTTCTCTTTTGGCTGAAATCCTCAGCCTTTAAACCATTCTTTACAAGGTACTGTTAGATCTGTGGTTATCTAACATTTGTCTTCCAAAATGCACTACTCTGAGAAAATAGCTCTAGAATGTCTCTTGGATCAGATATGCCTCCTGCCCACGAGAGGCAATCTGTATGGGTTCTTGCAAGCTGTGTCTTTATCTGCTCACTGCATTTCAGAGACACCTGCACATCAGATGACCTTTCTCTTTTCTTGGACTGTTTTTCCCCCCATGAACTCTGCTAAACTTTGTTGCCCCCTTTCTGGATTTCTGCATTTTATCCATCTCTAACATTGAAATCCTCTACTTTATATTGATTTCTATTTAAATTGATCTTGGTTTTGACTGTCATTTCGGCCTTTTTGGAGCTTTCTGAGTTTGCTTCATGATACCCAATTTTATTTTTGACATACTTGATTTTTTTGATATTTTTGACATTTGATTTGAAAGGTTAAGCAGTTTCATGGCAAGATTTTTAAAAAATATTTATTTTATTTATTTGAAAGACAGAGAGAGGTAGAGACACACAGAGAAAGAGAGATCTTCCATCCGATGGTTTGCTCCTCAAATGCCCACAAGGCCAGAGATGAGCTGATCGAAGCCAAGAGCCAGGAGTTTTTTTTTTTTGGGTCTCTCACATGGGTACAGGGGCCTAAGGACTTGGGACATCCTCCCCTGCTTTCCCAGGCATATTAGCAGGGAGGAACTGGATCAGACATGGAGCAGACAGGACTTGAACCTGCCCCCATATGGGATGCTGCAGGCAGGGGCTTTAACTTGCTGTGCCATAGTGCTGGCTCCTCCTGGCATGATTTTTGACCCTTTGTAATCTGGAATAAATATTCTAAAAGGTTTCAATCTTTTTTGAAACTTTTGTCAGGAGATATTTAACAAGTTATAAATTCATGTAACTCCATGGTCATCCAGTTTATTTCTAAATTTTATCTCTAGCTTATGTATTTCCCAGAACATGAGACTTGCATGTACAACAGTGCATCCCACTTGAACAGTCTGATGTGCCTTAACTTAAACTGCTCTTTCACCTTCAATCTTGTTTTCCACACTGTTTTCCTTCTCAAGAAATGGCAATAGCTGATCATGCCAAAGGAGACATGAACTCATCCCTCATCCCCTGTCTTTATCTTATAATCCATATGCAATGTGCACTCCATCTCCATTTGCAAGCCTGTTACTCTCCATTCAAAATTTCTCCTTAGCATTTATTACCACCTCCACTGTTACCACCTTGGACTAGACTGCCACCATCTCTTCCAAATTGCTACTACAGCTTGGTAAAGGGTGTCCTTGCTTGTGCCCTTGACCCTGAGTTTTTTCTCTATAGAACAGTCCAAGTGACCCTGTTAAAACCCAAGGCAAGTCACACAACAATCATTCATGGAGTCTCCTATGCTCTCATCTCATGCTGAGTAAAAATCCTATGATAGGCAGGCGCTGCGACTCACTAGGCTAATCCTCTGTCTGCTGCGCTGGCACCCCAGATTCTAATCCCGGTCGGGGTGCTGGATTCTGTCCCAGTTGCTCCTGTTCCAGTCCAGCTCTCTGCTGTGGCCCGGGAGTGCAGTGGAGAATGGCCCAAGTCTTTGGGCCCTGCACCCACAGGGGAGACCAGAAGCACCTGGCTTCTGGCTTCAGATCAGCACGGTATGCCGACCGCAGCAACCATTGCGGGGGTGAACCAACGGAAAAGGAAGACTTTTCTCTCTGTCTCTCTCTCTCACTGTCCACTCTGCCTGTCAAACAAACAAACAAACAAACAAAAACCCATGATAGTTGACAAGCCTTATGTGATTCAGTCCCCTGTCATGTCCCTGATCTTTTGACAAACATCCAGGCCAGTTGTGCTATGTAGTACCCTAATACCCCACAGTCTGAGTTTGTCTCATTGTCTGATCATGATTAGATTCAGAGTAGGCATTTTAAATGACTATACTATTTGTTATGCTAAGTTTGATCACTTGGTTAAGCTAGTAGCATCAACCAGATACTAAAATTGTGAAGGTATATTTTTAAACTACTTTTTTCCTTTTATTTGCAATTCAGTTATCCAAATGAAATTGGGGCTCTTTTTGTGTCTCCTTTCTTTTTATGTTTTCTTATTTTTTTCTTCTCTTTCTCTTCACTCTTTCATTTCTTTTGCTCTTGTGTTCTGTTTCGTTGTTTCTTACTCATCTCTGTTTCTGTCTTTCTCCTTCTTGCTTTCCTTCTACTTTCTCTTTTTAGTTTTCTTTCTCACTTCCCCCTTGACTTAATATTCTTTGTCCTTTCTTATTTTTTCTCCCCTTTGCTTTTTCTCATTCCCTTTTCTTTCTCTTTCCCTTCCTCCCTCCCTCTCTGCCTCCCTCCCTGTCCCTCCCCCCTCTTTCTTTCTTCCTTTCTTTCCTTTCTTTTCTTTCTTTTCTTTCTTTCTTTCTTTCTCTCTTTCTTTCTCTCTCTCTCTCTCTCTCTCTCTCTTTCTCTCTCTCTCTTCCTCTTTCTCTTCCTCCCTCTCTTCCTCTCTCCCTCCCTCCCTTCCTTCCTTCTCTCCCTCCCTCCCCTCTCTCCCCTCCCCTCCCCTCTCTCTCCTCTCCTCTCCTCTATCCTTTCTCCTCTCCTTTCCTCTTTTAAATCTTCATGATTTATCCTCTCTCATTTTATTTTCATTTTTTTGTCTCCTATCTTCCCTCATGTCTTTCCTCTCTTTCTTGTGTCTTCATATTTTTCTTTCTAAATAAAAATTTTAAAAAGAAAAAATGAAACTGGGCATTATAAAGCAAACTATTAAACATCTAGAAAGGCTAGCATAATAAGGCAAAGCCAAGATCAATTTTAACAGGAATTAATATAAAGTAAAGGATTTAGATAATAAAGATGGTTCAACCACAATCATATGCTACTTCATACCCATTAAAATAGCCACTAATAAGAAAAGACAACAAATGTTAAGACATGGAAAATTGGAATGCTTGTATACTGCTTATAGGAGTGTAAAATGGTAAATTTTCAGTGAAAGCAGTTTGGTAGTTCCTCAAAAAGTACTTCTAGGTGCATATCCCATAGAACTTTAAACAAGTATTCATAAAAAATCTGTACATGAATGTTCACAGCAGTTCTATTCACAGTAGCCAAAAGGTAGAAGTGACACAAAGTATCCATTGACAGATGAATAGATAAACAAAATGTGGTCTATTCATACATTGGAATAGTTTCAGCCTTAAAAGGAAAAGGAATTCTGACACATGCTACAGATGCATGAACCTTGGGGATGTTATGCTAAATGAAACAAGCCAGTCACAGAAGGACAAGTACTGAGTGATGTCACACATATAGATATCTAGAGTACTAAACTTCATAGAGATAGAAAGTAGTAGAGAATGGTGATTTCTAGCTGTAGGAGGAGAGGGAAAGATGAGCTGTTGTTCAATGCAGACAAAGTTTTGGTTGTATAAAATAAAAAACATTTTGGAGATGCATGATGGTGATGGATGTGTGACAATGTGAATGTATTTAATATTATTGGGCTGTGCAGTAAAAATGGTTAAGATGGGAAACTATATATTATGTGTAATTTACGTAAGAAAAAGAAAAGATAGGGGTGGATATTTGGTGCAGCAGTTAAGAAGCTTTTAGAATACCCATATCCCATATCAATACCAATCGAAGCTCCACTTCCAGTCTAACTTCCTGTTGATACACACCCTGGGAGACAATGTTGATGGCTCAAATACAGGTCCATACCATCTGTGTAGGAGACCTAGATTGAACTCCTGGCTTCTGCCTGACCCAGCCCCAGCTATAGTAGGCATCTGGAGAGTAAACCAGTGGATGGTTCTGCCTGTCTCTGTGTCTCGCTCTGTTTCTCTGCCTTTCAAGTAAATGAAAATAAAATTTAAGAAGAAAACTATGAACCAAATTCAGACATCCAGAGAGGAATTATCTGTGGGGTGATGCTGTGAGACTCAGAATTTCATGTTTCTCTACAGGCTTTTCACTCAATAATAGTAGCTTTAATTGATGATCCCTGCCTGAATCGATTATTATACTGGTTCCTAAATTCAAGTGGATCCTAAAAGTGCCAAGAGGTTGAGGGCACCTTAATTTTCCATTTTGCTATTGACTGGATAAGTAACAATTCGATGGAGAAATGCTGAGATGTGGGTATTCCTAGATTTCTTTTGCTAAAGATAATTGTTATAAACAAAAGAAGACACATGGAGCCGAGACAGTTCCCTTTCCTCATCCTGCCTGGTTGTGGCAAGCTTCTGTAATGTTAACAGATTTTGCTGTATCACTTTCTGTTTTAGGCAGGCAAACCATGGACCTCGTGGAACTTGTGTCTCTCTTCCCCACACTCACTGGACTTGCAGGCCTACAAGTCCCACCTCGCTGCCCCATTCCTTCATTTCATGTTGAGCTGTGCAGAGAAGGCAAGAACCTTCTGAAGCATTTTCAGTCCCATCACTTGGAAGAGGATCTGTACCTCCCTGCTAATCCCCGTGAATCAGTTGCCTATAGCCAATACCCCCGGCCTGCAGACTTCCCTCAGTGGAATTCTGACAAGCCAACTTTAAGAGATATAAAGATCATGGGGTACTCCATACGTACCATAGACTATAGGTATACTGTATGGGTTGGCTTTACTCCTGATGAATTTCTTGCTAACTTTTCTGACATCCATGCAGGTGAACTGTATTTTGTGGATTCTGATCCACTGCAGGATCACAATATGTATAATGATTCTCATGGTGAAGAATTTCTGCTGTCATTAATGCCTTGACTTTTATAAAACAACTACAGAAGTCAAATATAATATGTTCCCTTCCAGTTGGTGAGACTAATTAGAGCGGGTTACACTGTGATTACCCATGGTATTGGAAGCAACCTGAGGGGCATAAGTAATTAAAACATGCATCAACAATTTGGCCTAAAAATTAATTTTTGTTAAAAATTTTTAATTTAAATTAATTAGTAGTTGGACTGGGGCTGGAATGAACCTTTTTTTTTCTTTTCTTAAACCTGTCATAGCTTACTTCATGAATGATTAAGTACAAAGTGAACAAACTAAAATTGTGTCATACCTTTCATTATCAAGACTGTAATAACTATATTCAAGAAATATTTTAAACATTTGTGTTACTTAGTGTATTTCAAAAAGTAACCGTGTATCAGATTAGGTTCTACCCTAAGTTCCTGTTTATTTTGCTTATAAATTAATATACTCTGTGTAGCCTAATATATCCAAAATATATCATCATATCCATATTCCTTTTTTCAAATATGAGGTTAATGATAATAATAGAAGCCCATGACTTAAAATGTGTTTTAATTTTTGTTTCTGAGGCTCCAAGATTTTAGATTCCAAAGACAAAATATGCATGAAGTGATTGGCATGTAATTTCTACATTAAATAATAAATAATGCTCAGTAAACTAGAGGCATGAGATGGGTGTGAAATTCAGTTAAAATTTTTTAGATACCTTTTGGCCCAAATAATTTGTTAGCAAAGTGAACTCAATGACCACTTAAAAATATACACTGTTATTCATGGTGAAGAGCATTTCAAGTGTAATTATATCTATAGATTTAATCATTCAAAATCATATTAGTGTTCTTTGGGATAGTTGGTTACATACATTCATTTATCAAGGAGGCAGAAAATATTCTACTTTTAATTGCTTATTAAATAAAACACCAGTTTTACTAAATTCTAAATTGAGAATTGTGAAAACTTTTAATTAGTATAATTGACATTTCAATCCTACAGAATGTAGTCCTATATTCTTCAAATACGAAAGTAGCCAGAAATGCAGGAGGCAGTAATAAGGTTAGTCTATATCATCTTAAAAGGGATGGAATATTTACAACTCATGACATGTTAAAGCTGTTCCATTGTCAGTAGTTACCAAAAGAGTCAATAGCTATCTGAACAAATGTCTAATTTAGTCAGGCCTGTATTGAAATAAGTAGTTGTTAAACAAACACCTCAAGGTAAATGTTTGTGAAACAAGATACAATAAATTTGATTAAGTTTCTGCAATATATTGTTGTAACCCAAAAAGACAAGGTGTTATATTAAAATCAGTAAAACTTTTAGACAGTTTCTTAAACAAATTAGCCTCTAATAGCAGTATATATGCAATGATCTCAGAAGTTACTGGCCACATTTTTTGCTTGACTGAAGGCCCTGTTCATTTCTCATGATCCTGAAGCTGTCTCTTTTCTGAAAGCCTCAACATTTGTAGACAGTTTCCCTCAACCTTTTTCTTTCTCATTCTTCATCATCTATATTGCTCTTGTCTTCTCTGCTATGATTTAACAATACAACCTAAGTATTCCTCCTGACACATTTTCAGTGTATTTAGCTTTATCTCTTACTCCCTATTACTTAGGATGATAAGTTTTCACACAAATTTGTATGTCACATCCATTCATTTGCTTTTTCCTAGTTGGCTACGATACACATACTTCATCATTTTTTACTTTATTTTTTAAGCACAGTTTTAGTATCAGAAACCTCCAAATTCTGCTCTTGATGAAGTCATAAGCCGAGCTGTGTCAGAAGAGAGTAAGGCAGGCACCTATGATGTGCAGCTGCCAGGTTAGCAGCGAGTCTGTGATGCTTGTTGGCCAGCTGTGAGTTCTTATTCCCTTGTGTGACCAAAGCTACATTCAGGTCTCAGTCTCCGTGGGCTGCTTCTATAGATCTGTCTCTACTGGAAGCACTTTTGTCTCATGTGTTTTACCATGAGAGTATAGTTTTGGAATGCTTAGCTCTCTTTAGGTTTTAGTTTTTCTTGGCCTTCCTTTACATATTTCTTCTTCTAGTATCAAAGGCTATATTTCCACTTCAATGGCATGTTCTAAATCATCTTACAGGTTACAGTTGCTTTTTGTGTTTTTTATACTGAACACAATTTAGAGCCATTTTTGTGTTCTTTTGCATATTTCTAACACATATTAGGATGAGCAACCACTTTCAGGCTTTCAGATATCAAAATGAATGAAATTCCTTCTCTTTTCTGGAGAAAACACATGTTTGTCATTTCATATAACTTTTCCCTAATACCACTGAACTGGGTGTATTTTATTAGTGACACTCCAGTCACTGTGTGGAGACATTTCCAGTTCCTCTGAGCAGGGGTTCTTTTATCTAATTTAGTTGAAGCCAGAGCTGTGATCCCACACATTCTGTGTAATTCTAGTTCAAGTGGTTCATGAACAAGAGAGCACATCAGAAGCACCTGAAGGGCTTGTTGCACCCCTTTGGGCTGGGCCCTGCAGACAGAGGTTCTGATTCAACATGTAGGGTACAACCTACTCTCAAGCTGCAAAATGATGCTGCTACTCTAAAAACCACACTTTGACAATCAGTGCTCTAGGTCTGTGTTTGTCCACTTGGTAGCTGCCAGGAACATGTGGCTATTTAAATTATATGAAGTAAGATTTAAGAAGAATCTATATCATCTCATGTTTTGAGTGCTAAGCAACCACAAATCTAGGACATTTCTATCATGATAGAAAGCTTGATTGAACAGAGCTGCCCCAGATTGTCTCCAGAGTTGACCTGGATGCACTAGCAGTTCCTCCTGTGAGCTGTTTTCCTATCCTGCATTTACCCACAAAGACTTGTCCAGAAGTGAGCTAAGTGTGTTTGATTTAGGCATAGAGTACGGAGTTCACTAAGGCAGTCAGCCTCTTTCTCTACTCCCATCATCATTGCCTCAGTCCTTCTCCCATCCTTCCTAAGTAGTTCTCCTTCCCCTCCTTGTTCCTCCCCTGCTCCTAAAGGAATCCATGTGTCTTCCTAAAGTCCTCTTTGATCCTTCCCTTTAAAAACACCGTCAGTGCCTACTATGGGTCTAGATAGACCTCCGCTGAGCAGTCAGAGTCTTCCCTGGCTCCACAATGCCCCTTTCCTTGGCTGACCAGTTTGCCTGCTGGTCCCTAACTCTCCCTAGCCAATCCGTGCCTCCCTGCCCACTTCTAGGTTTTACCGCCCCCCTCTTCCCTCATCCATTCATAACCATCTTCACAACCAGCTCCCATACCACTCTGCCAAGAGGCTGAGGCTCTTGTGACACTTGACTGTATTGTGGGATGAAATGAATGTTACTAAAGAATCTGTGTTTACCTTCTTGAAAAATGATATTTTTTTCTGATTATCAATTGATGTGTTAATTATAGAGAAACTGGAAAACAGAAATGTAGTAAAAGGAGAGAAAATGCATGAATGTTTTATCCTGAGATAGTCACTAATATCTTGTCCTTTTGGGGGGAATGAATTTTTTTATGCTGTGATCTTACTATGTTCTGTATCATGTAATTTGTGTTCTTTTTCACAGTATTATGTGTGGTTATTACAGACTTTTGTGAAGATACTTTATATTGCTGGTAATACTATATAGTTTTATTGAAATTTATGTAACCTTTCAATTGTTGGAAATTTAGGTTATTCCCAGATTATCAGTATTATAAATAATGATGTGATGTCAATTTTGTGAATAAAAGTTTTGTATGTATTTGAAATTATGCCCTTAGGATACTCTCTCAGTGCCAAGTTTGTCGAAAAGATCTTCATTTTGTTCCTTTCCTAGCTCTGTTGCTACCTTAGGGTAGTAAAGCTAAAAAATAAAGTAAAAGCATACAAATAAAACCATAAACAAAATAACCCTGTAGTAATAGGTGAAATTGGTAACCTGTTTTAACTTCTAATTCTTTTTTAGTGACCTTGATCATTGTTCCTTCTGTATGATTTTTGGGCATTCATATTTCCAACTGTATGAATTTGCCTTTAAATTTTGTTAATGGTTTTTTACTTTTTAAAGTAATCAAACAAATTGATCTTTCTTGGTGTGATTTTTTCCCCTCTCTTTTCCTGTTAAACATGAAGATCCTATGATCTGGAGATTGAATAAATATTTGTTTTCCTTTGCATTTTTTCATGGTTTGCTTTTACACTTATGCTATCTTTCCATCGCATTATAAGAGGAATATATGTTCATCGTGTAGAATCTGGAAATGTGAAAAAATTGTAAGGATGAGAAGAAGTGTACCCTTCAGAATATAGCCACTGTTGACATATATGTATTTCCATTTCCTGCACACACATATATATATGCACAAATATATACACTTTTACCATTATGTAGCTGAAATCTACCACATTCAACCTCTACCTTGCTTTTTTGATCTAATAATGTCAGCATGGCTTTTCATGTCATTGACAATTCTTAGTTAACAGTTGTAATGACACACCACCCTTCTTTCATTAATATTTTTCACTTAAATTCTTAATTTTTCCTATGCATTTTAAATAATTATGGTAAAACATAAAATTTACCATCTTAGCCATTTTTAATTGGAAAGTTTGGTGGCATTAGGGCATTCATATTGTTGTGCTGCTATCACTACCATCCATTCACAAAACTCTTCTCATCATGCAGAACTGACATTCTATCCCCTGTAAGCACTAACTCCCCACCCTCTCCCTTCTGTTCCCTGCCATCTTGTTTCTCTGAATTTCACTACTCGAGGAACCTCATTTAAGTGGAATCATAAAGTATTTGTCCCTTTGTGACTGGATTATTGCACCGAGTGTAATGTCTTCAAAGTTTATCCATGTTATAGCTTGTGTCAAATTTCCTTCCCTTTAAGATTGCATAGTATCCCACCATACACACACACATACACACACACACAATGTTTAGTTTGTCCAGTCATCCACTGGCAGACACTTGAATTGTTTTCACTTTTGGGCTGTTCCAAGTAATGGTGCTATATCCAGTCCCTGTTCTTAATTCCTTTGGGTAAATATGCAGCCTGAGAGAATCACATAAAATGTTGAGGTGTGTGCTTGGAGGAGAGCAAGGTGACTCTAGAGCAGCCTCATCCTGGCTACAAACAGAAAGATTTCTCTGGATGTGGCAAGGGGCTGACTCTTCACCCTCTCTGCCTGAACTTACTGCTGTCTGTTAGGTTCTCAAGCTGTCCCATGTGTCACTTTGTGAAGGATTTAAAGTATAAATTCCCAAATAGGGGCTTAGTCCCTTTTCTTGCCCCAAAGACCCCCTGCAGGTTTTAGCTCTGTAGAGAAGTATCTTGAATCCAGAACTGGGATGTGGGATTAAAGTAGAACTCAGGTTCTCCTTTTGGCTTCAGCCCGCAATATCCTTTGGCCTTGGGTATAACCCATTGTTGTTAAATCTGTTAGGTGAACCCCTTCATGCCACACTATTCTTGGTGTTCCCTTGGTTCTTCCAGGTAATTTCTCTCTTCCACACAAGTGGACTTGAAGTAGAGTGGGCTGTCACTAAATAGATGCCTTCAGGTCGTTACCGGTCATGGAGAGGAGGGCAGTTGCCGGAGCGAGTCTCGTGGGTTCTTTTCCTCAGCTCAGTGTGGAAATAAAAGCTGGGAAACAATTTACAAAGAGGCAGAAACTTTTATTTGATTGGCAAGCAATAGAGAAAGCATCTGCTCTGAGAGGAGACCAGGTGGAATACACGAACATGACATTGGCTTTGAGGAAGTGTCCTGGCTTTTTAAGGCATTACTGTCTGTTCACTGGGTCATCTTATTGGGGGTGCCCATTGGACACGGGGTTTCACATATGTATGTTGATTGGCTTGGGGCTAATGGAGATAGGGTCTCCTGGGAGCTGTCTCCTTAGGGGCTCAGACCCCCTCCTCTGCTAGCTCTGGGTGAAAGATTGCAGCCACCCTGAAGGTGTAATTTAAGGCCACAAGATCACACAAGATAGCCTGGATCTCCTGGAACCAGTCTGACTCTCCCCAGAGGCTCAGCCCCTTCCTCTGCCACCTCTGAGTGAAAGATTGTACCCACCCTGAAGATGTGATTTAAGGGTTCAAGGTCACACATGCAGTGCAAGAAATCTATCAGTGGGGGAGATGCCAGTTGGTCTGGAGACAGGCTTTCTAGCCACAGCTGACAGCCTGCTTGTAAAGGACATTCTACCTACATCTGAAGGGGCTCACAGACTCCCAGCTGCACTGGCTGGCCTCACAGGTCATCCATTATGTAGGCATTATGGGTAAGAGCCCTCACTGCTCTTGGGTCTTGCCTTTCCCCACACTACTGAGAGTTCCTGCTGCTGTGCCTGTGCATTTGCTCACCTGATGGGGTAGATTCTGCTGTTTGCTTGAGTGTCTGATGGGATGGGAGTCCACCAACAGGAGTTTTCTTTGGGATCCAAGTTTGCCGGTGGTTACTCCATGTTCTGCCTGACATCCCTATCATCCATGATGTAAATCACAAAGTGATTTCCTTGTTTGATTCTGATTCTAGGTGAGGTTCTAGTCTTTTGATGGGGAAGAGTCCAGGTGGAGAAAACAAATGTGGCTGAAGTTGGATCTGGCTCCTGAGGAGGTATAGGGGAGACAATTTCCACTTGTACGCACAAAGCAATGTGGCAGGGTCAAGGTAGGAGGAGCCCCACCGCCAACGAAGAACAAAGGATTGACGTCTAGCAGTGTAATTGTATTCTGCATGTACTGGAGGCATGACCGAGGATGTGGAAAAGAGAGGAGCAAAGGCCAGGGGCTAACAGCATTTCTTTCTTCTCTATAAAAGTCAGGGATCTGATTTATGTGTGGGCAAGAGAGTTTGGAGCAGGACTGAATCTGGCATTTACAAAACTCCTGCCTAATTTATTGTCATTTCCAGTGTGTTTCCACGAGAACCTTTTACAGGTGATTTATATTCAAAACTCATTATTTACTTAACAGGTTTTATGAATTCATCTCTTCCACACTATTGAAAAACACTCTTGTGTTTGTGTTAAGTGCAGCATGAGTTATTATATGAATAAATTATATTAAATTTGCCATTATCATTGTGGGTGAAATTTTTGCTATTGTTTGCATACTGCTTGATACTTTCTTAAAATAAATAAAGGCATTTAACATATCTTGATACTATGGTATAGGTTTTCCCTCTTTATATGTCCAAACTATTCCTCCTGGCATGAGGATTGCAAAGGTGGTGTGGATTTTACAAAGGAGTTGTTTTCTTGAGGCTAGGTGGTGAAGGTCTAATGTGGAAGTGCATTTCTGGGCAGTGATGTGGTTCTCTCTTGCGCCTGCAATTACAGTACCTTCTCCAGAGGGAAGTAGGAAGTGGCATCACCAATCAGATGGGCTTCTGCTTGGAGAAACTAGATATACAGCAACAACCAGGCAAAGGTGGGGAATTTGTGGATTTCCTGGATCCAATTGGGGAAGTACGTACCTAGTGTCTTGGTTTAGTACTTTGAAAAGTCTCGGCTCATTGCTTCTCACCTATTATTATTGTTAACACTGACTGAAGATTTGGAAGGCAATGCTTTTATTTGTAGATGAAAGTAAGGACCCTGCAAGACCATTTTCACATGGACCAGGACAGGCTGGAAGGATTGAGTGATTCTCTGAAGGTGAAGTAAGTTCAGTTTTTATTTGCTAGCTTGTTTATTGCGACTAGGTAAAAGGGTATGTCAAAAAGAGTTCATGGAAAATAAAAGATGAGGGGACTTCAAAAAGTTCATGGGGAAGGGGAGTGCGTGCCACGCAGACAACAGCGGGGAGACTTGGGACGTCCAGGGCTCCGAGTCCACACATCGGCGCTGGAAGGGGAGCGGACCTGCGTGGAGAGCGTGGGAGCCCACAGTTCGGGACACCAGCGGCAGACTCAACACACCAGTGCTGGAACGCGAGGTGAGCCGAACCTCAATAGCCCGAGACACCAGCAGGCAAGCGGAGAGAGGAGACTAGAGGGAATGACCCCCGGGGGGGGGAGGACTTCACCAGGCTAACTGGAAGAGAGAGAGAGGAAAAAAAAAGGTGACTGGTACGGACACGGGTTTCTCTCTCTCTGCTCACCTCTCAAGGGCGAGCAAGACAAAGAGCAGGCGCCATCTTGGACATACGTCATAAGCAGAGCGACCTCAGGTCTGCACCGGCCCTGAGCCTAGCAGAAAAACCTGACTCTGGGCGGGGCAAATTAACAGGAGATTAGGACCTAGTAAATTTGTGGTGCTACTGAACTGAGACTGTGAAAAAAGAGACGGTGGGGGAGAGAACTCACGGAATTCACGTGAGCACTCTCCAGAGACGCTACAATTCCGTAACTTTGGCAACCCAGTGGGAGACTGAAGGAGAATTTGAGCCCACTCTGAGGGCCGAACAGATTCCCTGTGTGGTCCTTGGGAAAGAGCTTCTGATCTCTGGCTCCTGTGGGTATATCATTTGCCTGCTAACTACCTCCAACTTCGTTCAGCTGTGCAGAAAAACTTCCCTTTTGAATCAAAAAAAAAAAAAAAAAGAGAGAGAGAGAGAGAGGTTTACCACGCCTAACCTGGGAGTGTCATCTTTGGCACACCAAACAGAGCTCTCAGGCCACACCCATCTCAAGCCCTAAGGCTCCATCAAAAACAGATAGTCCACTTAATCTAGAGTCATAGTATAACAAGAAAAAGCACCACAGTGAAGAAACCAAATATCTCCAATATGCCAAATAACAAACGCAAAAACCAAGGTAATAAAAACAAGGAAGTCACCATGAAGCCCTCAAATGAAAAAGACACCCCAATTCAAGATTATGAGGATGATGATATAGAAGAAATGCAAGAAGCAGATCTCAAAAAATTGATAAGAACATTAAGAAGTTCTCAAAAACAAATTCTTGAACTACAGAAATCCTTAATGGACAAGTTAGAAAATCTCTCTCGTGAAAATGAAATATTAAGGAGGAATCAAAATGAAACGAAACAACTAGTACAACAGGAAACTGGGATAGTGACTGAAGTGAAGAATTCAATAGATCAAATGAAAAACACAATAGAGAGCCTTACAAACAGAATGGGTGAGCAGAAGAGAGAATATCGGACTTAGAAGACAGAGAACAGGAAAGGATACAGTCAGACCAAAGAAAGGAAGAGGAAA